TTACTACTGCCAAACTATCGCACCTTGCTATCATGTGTCACATCTTGCAACCAACTATCGTACCTTGCCACTGATTGCTATACCTTGTTGTTGTTTGCCGTATCCTGCTATTAATTGTTGCATCCTACCATTGTCTGCTACATCCTACCATTGATTAATGTACCTTATTGCCGAATTGCTGAGCCTTGCTGCAATCCACCGCATATTCTTATTTTGTGAAAAAAATTAAAAATCAAAAATCTCCTAAAATTTTTAACATTTTTTATTTTAAGTTTCAACTTTATCATTTTATCTGCTATTACATTGCAAGGTGCATTTTATTCAACTTTTTCTACTTGATCACATATTTTTGTTCATAGATTATTTATAATGAATACTTCAACATCTCCAATTACCTCTACTATATTTTTAATTATTATCACTATATCTCAATATTTTTAAGCTTTTTTATTTCTATCATTAGCTATTGATAGAAATAATTATCTATCATAGACAAAAATGGTAAAAGTAAATTTATTTGTAGAACAACTCTTGGATGTAATTTATTTTAAAGAATCTCTTACTATAAGTACTTCAATTCTTCTTGCTATCCATTGGAAACTACTTCTTTTCTTTTGTTGTCATCTTGTACCTACATTACAATATCAATATTTGAAAATGAAAGATCCAACCAAGCTTTGGAAGAATCTTAAATCTAGGTTTGATCATGAAAAGACCATTTTTCTTCCATATGCACACTATGGTTGGACATATTTACGTCTCTTGGATATTCCAAATTTAAATCCTTTCAATAGTAAGATGTATCATATTATCTCATAACTACGATTATGTAGATAAAACATCTTTGAAGAAGAAATGATTGAAAAAACTCTCTCTACATTTCTTCCCACATTTCTTATGCTTATACAATAATATAGGAACATGAAATTTCAAAGTCATCCTGATTACATATCTTCTCTTCATCTTGTAGCAAAATAAAATGAGCTACTCTTGCATAATGTAAAAGCTTGTCCTATTAGAACCATAGTTCCAAAATCTCATGTACTTAATATTTCAAAGTCTAAGAAAAAATTATATAAACATAGAAAAAGTGCTTATAAGTACCAATTAGTTATGATCATGACCATTTCTATCCATATGAAAAGAATAAATATTCTATAATTAATTATAATAGAAAAAAAAATTAAAGATGTGTTCTTGTCATAAATGTGGAAAAATTGGACATTCAGCACATACATGCCATATTTTAGAATACTTTATTAAAATGTTCCAAAAAAATAAGAAACTTTGAATTAAGGCTCATAATGTTCATACTATAGATGCATCCATGTATTGAATTGGTGTTGATCATTTGGAAGCTTATATAAATGATAAAACCTCTAATAATGAGTCAAATGATGTACACATTGATTTTGTAACAATACATACTATCTTGCATAATAGACGGTTTTTTATTTAAAAATCTTCAACTTGGCAAACTAGAAATTTGATGACTATGGTTGAAGCAAATGAATTTTGTTTTTAAAAGAGACTAGTGATGGTAAAATTGCCTATAGACTCTATTATAAAATACAAACTTGAAATATTTACACTTTTAGCACCTTGGAATCTAATCAATTATAGAGATGTGCATACCAATGGTTATCACCTCTCGATTGTAATTCTAGATAGGTGGGAGATTTTGATTCTTGCAAAAAACCATAAAGTTGTAAGAAAAGCCTTTGTTGTGACAAATGGTATATATTAGATTGCAATCTGGCCTCCTATTATAATTAATTTTGCATCATCTATCACAAAGAATTGTATTTCTCTTTGACATAGAGAATTGGAACATCTAAGATCTATATTATTTTGAAAGATAATTCTATGTATAATTTTGCATAATTTAAGACCTATAAATATAGATTCTATAGAATTATATTATATTATATATATATATATATAAAGTAAGATGATTTCTTGGCCTTTAATTTGGAAACTCCTATGAGAATTACTACCAATGCTTGAAAGGTTGATGGTAGTATTTGTAGTCTTATTAATCTAATATTTGGACTATTTTATTATTTTTTGATCCTTGTCGATGCATCATGCAAATAATCACATATTTCATTATTATCAATTCAAAATATGGTATTTGCTAATCTTTTATTGATTTTGATTCATTAATCATTAATTGTATTATTGATCTATCAACTAGTACATTATTATATGCACATTTTTAAAATCATCGTTTTGAAGAGAACATATTTCTATCTCTTCAAAGAAGAATATTTAATAAACAAAGAAATATAGTACTTGTATTTGGAGCATCAAAAATATTTACAATGAATCTTGATCCTAGAACATCTTTGGCTAAAATTGAAGTTGCCAAGATTTTATATCTAAAACGGATCACAAATGAAACATATGATGGCTTCAATGAAGCACCTTAGATTACAAGAGTTCTAATTCATAAGGCTTAGAATAAACCTACTCAGATTGCAATGTCATTAAATAATATATCTTAGGTTAAAATATCAAAAATTAAAATGACTTGTAGACCAGATAAGCAACCACAACAGAGGGTTATAACATGTAGTGATTCTGATATTATTTCTATAGAAGTTCTTACTAAACCTATGGAACCATTGGTTAATGATGATATGTCTATGCAAATTATATCTTCACTTCATACAATAAAAAATCTTAAAATTAGAAAGAATAAAACAAAGTTGAATACAAAATGATTTGTTCTATATTGTGCTACAAACAACATTTGGGATAAACCATCTATTATAATAGATGAATCATTTGCACTCATGATTCTAGGAGTTCTTTCTTATGAAAAAGAGAATTCTAAACCTCAAACCATCTAGGAAGCAATGTGTCACTCTAACTAATTAAAATGAAAAACTACCATCAAAAAAAAATATGCTTCTTTGCATAAGAGGAAAGTCTTTGGTCTAATTGTAGAAACTCTTACTTCTTTCTATGTGGGATATAAGATGGTATTGATATGGAAGAAAGATGCTAAAGATCAAATAATTACTATAAAAATCATCTTATTGTCTAAAGATTTACTCAACAATTTGGCATTGATTATGAATCTATATATTTTTTAGTCATGGATTCAATTACATTCCAATATATTATTGGAATGAAAATTCATGCCACCCTTGAGGTGTGTCTCATGGATGTGATAATTGCATATTTATATGGATCTCTTAATGTAAATATTTATATGAAAGTTCCACATGGTTTGGAAAAAGGAACTTCAAATGCACGTGTTCCAAGATAATATTATGGTATTAAATTACAGAAGATCCTATATGGTCTAAAATAATTTGGAGGCATGTAGTATCAATGTCTTCAAGATTATTTAATTATAAATAAGTTTGTAAGTAATCCACTAATCTCTTGATTGTTTATCAAACAAGATAAAATTAGTTTTGTGATCATCACTATATATATTAATGTTCTTAATCTAGTAAATATTAGATCTGCATGCATTACAGCTACTAACCTATTTATCTGTGAGTTTGAAATAAAAATACTAAGAAAAATAACTTTTTGCATTGGTTTCAGATTATGCATCTTATAAATAGTGGCATTTTTCTCTACCAATTAAAGTATATTAAACAAATGTTATGGAGATTCAATATGATTGATGCCTATCCATTATTAACTCCAATGGTTGAGTATAGTCATAATGGTCATAATCCATACTATCCATATAAAGAGGAGGAACAAATATTAGAAGATCAATATCCATACCTCGTAGCAATTGGAGTACTTTTATATTTAGTCACATCTATAAGACCAAATATTACATTTACAATTAGTGTCCTTCCAAGACATAATATATTTTCAATACTATAACATTGGAATGGTATCAAATATTTATTATGTTATTTAAAAGCTACTAAAGATTTGAGATTATACTACTTACGATTTACAGATCCAAAATTAGTTGGATATTTTGATGCAAGATATAAATCTGATATTGCAATAGCTAAATTTCAAATTTACTATGTATTCTTAAGACATAGAGCTGCAATATCATAGAAATTAGTGAAACAAATTATAACTACAACTTCAGCCAACTATGCAAAAGTTATTGCCTTACATGAAGTATCTCAAGACTATATTTGATTGCAATCAATTGATAAATTCATTCAAATAACTTGTGGACTTTCATATGATGATTCTCTAATTATCTTGTATGAAGATAATAGTTCTTGTGTTGCACAAATGCAAGTTGATTTGATTAAAGGCAATAGGACAAAGCATATTGATCCAAAATATTTTAGTTATATCCATGAGTTGATTATTGATCTACTGCTTAAGATCAAGAAAATTGAATTTGCAAATAACCTTGTTGATTTCTTCACCAAAGCTCTTCCTTTGTGCAACCATTGCCATCTTACTTATGGCATTGGCATATAGCAACTTATTTTTTTTTAGCAAGAAAGTTAATAAACTCTTATAATATTTTTCTCAATAAAAACATAGTATAGAAATTATTGCTATGATATAAGATGTGCATTTGATAAAAAAAATCTTACTATTATTCTTACAAAATGTGGCAACTACTATATATTGAAAATAATTAGAATAATAAAATTAATTCTTTTGATGTTGTATTTGTAGTAATAATATTTTTTTGATTAAAAAAATATAAAATAATTTATTATTATTTTTAATAAATTACAATAATTTTTAATAAAAAATCAATTTACTAATACTAATGAATATCCAAATATATATATATATATATATATATATATGCACATATAAGATACTTATATTTGTAAAAAAGTTAACAAGTAATACTATTATTGAATAATTGGCATGGATCCCAAAAGCAACATTCAAACCTATTGAACAACAACATTTTTTTTATTTTTTGTGGTTTCTTCTTTTCTTCTTTTCTTTTTAAAAACATCACAAAACCATTATCTCTGTACAAAAATTTATCATGAAAAATTAGATATTTTACCACTAAGATATATGAACCAGCAATCTCTGGGTACCGTCCCTTACAATCCTTATAAGTTTTCAAGGCATGGCTGACCAAACCAAGCAAGGGATGGTTCCCAGAAAAAAAGAACAAAAACAGAAAAGAAAAGTAAAAGTCCAACTGCAATGGATGGCCCACTTTACTTAGTCTTCTTCTTCTTGTTGTTCAAGCCTCTTCGTCTTCATCGGAGTTTCCTGGGGACTCTGCCACTCCTTTCCTCGATGCACATCTCAGCTCTAATTTAGACATTGTTTATGTCTCATCCACGCGTGTGGGTACATTTGTTATACATCCCACACATTTGTGGAGATATGCCGCATTCGTGCTTTTTGTTGTGCTGGGATCGAGAGTGGTCGAGTTGTGGGAGTAGAGAGAGCCTGGTTTTGAAGGAGCTGTTGGCAATCTCGCATGTGTTGCTTGGCGGCTTCAACTTGGTTCGTTTCTGGTCCCCATGCTAGGCTTGTTTCCGGAGGAGCAGCGACAGCTTGGACTGTTGGTTGTGTTCACCGAATAGTTACAGCATAGCAGGGTTGTCTGTTCTAGAAGAATCCGGTGAAAAAAGTGTCCGCGAGGGCCCTCTTACCCACTTTATTTCTGGGGTGTTATGGAAAGGCCAACTCTTCCTGTTGAGGGCGCGAGGAAGAAGGCCAAAATCGACTATTCGCAACGAATTATGCTCTCGCCGTCTGATTCAAGAGCTGCGTCATCTCAATCCTCGCAGATTGCAGCTTGCGATGACTCATGCTCCTACAGTTTATATGGCTTAAACGACTCATGCGACCGATTGCCTGATACCAGCCCTGGCCTGAATCCCTGGTCATTCTGTCCACCAGCGCGAGAGCTAAGATATCTTATACCGTCAGCATCCACTGAATCAGAACCAAGCTGGAAGGCAATCAGTCATGATCAAAGGGAGGCTTTCGCTAATTTCTCATGGTTGGCTGAAGACCTACGCGAGGATAACCTTGTGAATGTTGCAGGACCACCTATATCAGGAGCAACCTCCCCCAGGTTCTGTGACTTCAAGGCGTGTTCTGAAGTGGGACTCTCCATCAGAGACTCTCAGGATGACTTACCAGATGTTTGCGCAGCTACATTTCCTCTTTCCTCACCCCGGGATGAGCTGGCTTGGGCCCAAACCATGGTCGAGCTGGACAAATTTGAGGGTTTCTGCAGATCCGACGAACCTCAGCGAGAACAGTCTAAGAGCGAGAGGCAAATGTCTCCTACCACTTCTTCAGCTGAGCTACGTCTCGAAGAAGTGTATCATTCACAGACACCAATAGACTCAGCGTCGCTGTCATCGTCATTTTTAAGTGACTCTAAGACCAGTTTTAAGGGCAGGAAACGAAAGAGCGACACTTGCGGTGACTTTGCTGCAACAATATCTGCTGAAAACAAGGAACAAGAAAGATCATCTGAGAAAGAGTCTGGAGAAGCAAATGTGCATAATGAAGGAGACGCTGGAAGTGATAAACAAGAAACTAAGCAGCCAATGTAAGTAGCAGGTTCACAATGGCTATTCACTGTCAAGTCTTTACTCCCCCGATGCATCAGATTCAACCGCAACATTACGAGACATCATACTGCAACTTGCTCAAATTTTTGGAACATTTATGTAGTACCGTTTATTAGGCCAGTAAAATATGTGGCAGTGCATTCTAACTTATTGATGAATTTTTGTGAAGGATTTGTTTTCTTATTGAGTGGTGTGTGACGTAGTGCGCGTTTTTTCTGTGGAAATCCGCCCCGGAAGGAGAAATGCGTGAAGAGGGAGCGCGAGCCGCGGTTTGCGATCAAAACGAAGACACACACCGATGTGATGGATGATGGTTACAAGTGGCGCAAGTATGGACAGAAACCGGTAAAAAGCAGCCCCCACCCCAGGTACTGCACACTCTTAACCCAAGCTTTCTACAGAGGTCGGTTTCAGTGTCGACAGGATGGTTAACTGCACACGTATTCAGTTGAATCATGAAATCTATCGTGTGTAGCTTTTGAATTGAATGATGCTGCTGATGGTTTCATGTTAGTCATGAGATTGACAAAGCACTGTGCATGTAAGGATTAGATGTTGGTCACCATATTGCAATGGCTTGTGCTGGATGAAGAGGAGATCTTACAACCGGACAGACAATTCCACGCATCCTATAGATGTCTGTAAACAGAAGTAGCATTCACGTTTCTCTCAGCTTCCCATCGGTAGCAGTTTGCTTTTTAAAGCCGTACCCGAAATTTTGAAAGATCTTTCAGAAAAGACCCGACTATGCCGGCATATGTGACGAAGCTGGACTGAAGTAAGCAGCCCAGAGAACGTAAGCGTTGAGAGGATGTCAAACTATGTTCCACGTCTCTTGCCAACTCCCTCCACGAGTCACAGCACCATAAGCTACGGCTGACCAACATGACATCCTCCATGGTTTTGAGATACATCGTGTTCAATGCGCAATTAAACATCAATCGTGAATTGTCTAGTCGGGAGCCTATCTTCACAAGCGTGCGTGTTCCACGCGGATAGTGAAGTTGGAGAATAAGATATTCCAAACAAAGTGACAAGCTTTGTGATGTCTGACAGCGTGGCACTCGAAATGTTGCAGAAACTACTACAGGTGCACTACGCCGAACTGTCCAGTGCGGAAGCGCGTGGAGCGCTCCACAGAGGACCCCGACCAGGTGATAACTACCTACGAGGGCAGACACACGCACCAATCACCCAGTTTCCTCAAAGGTTCGCCAGAGTACCCGAGCGAGTTATCGGGGCTTTTGGGTGCCCTCTACCACCATTACAGTCTAGCTTGCAACCAAGCCGTGCGTGCGCATATCCCAAATTTCGGCGATTTCGGTCTGTCGGATCTTCTATTCACACCGCAAGGCTTTAGTTCTAATCAAAACAACCTGAATGTGCTTCGAGCTCATGAGATGCTTAAATTACAGCAGGAAGCTGCTTGCGCGTCGATTTTGATTAAGCTCTTACAGTTTGGAGCTCACAATTGCACAGGTAGACATCAAGAAGGTGGGCCAACCAATTTTCCTTGCCCGAACCTCTCAAGTGTGAACCCTTCGTCGAACCAGAGCCCTCTATTCGACTGGCTGTCTCCAACACTGGAGCAACTGGGTCGCCTTCTCTTACCAAATGCTTGAGCGTTGTCACAAGGCGATAGATTGTCCTGCAGCCGTCCTGCTCCAAGCCCAGAATATTCTCATGGATTGCTTGGCATCCGTTGTAAAACCCCCTGGTCGTGAACTGTCTGTGTTTGTGGCTACGGAGGATACATTGAGCCCCACAAGTCCGACTACTTCTAGATCTTGACCCTGTTCAATACTTTGGCCTCCTAGTGTTGTACATTCAATCTAGCTCACACGATATTTTAATACTCAATTTCTGAATGATTTTCTTGTATAGCATAGTGTCGAAGTAGCCGTACTGACTCGGTAAAAATTTGGTTACGGGGTCAACAAGTCATCCCGACCGTACACACTTAACTGAAAAAATCGAAACATTTGTATTGCAGATTTCATGGATCTCAAAGTATTCCTGTCCTACACGTGTTTCATGATGTCCTGCACCTGACTGTACACTTCACACGGTCTGATTGTGATGAGAATACAAGTGCAATCTCAAAATCCTCTCGAATGAAGCCATTGTTGCTAGTTAAGTGAGCTTCGGATTCTGGAAACAGAATACTCTTGGCGAGATTTATCTGTTACTCTCCTCGAAGTTTCACCATACTGCAACATGCGAGGGGGCTATTCCAAGTGGTCATGAGATGATCTTGCCAATAATTCACCACGAAGGACTTTCAGATCCTACATCCGCGGAGGATAATTCAATCCTGTAAAGTTCACAAATGTCTTGGTTCAACCGACTAGCATTTGGGAATCATGAAAGATTACGCGTCTGGCTAGTTCTCACATCGAGGTGCGGTTCATCAGCATCAAGCTTGGCCACACAAGCAAGCAGAGAAACCATTTTTTTTTTTTTTTTTCTTGCAGTTGAGGATGAGTGGATTGCCAGGTACGAAACTGAAGTGCAACGTCGGGATTGGTGACGAATTTAGCTCCAGAGTAGGTACGAGGATTCCAATCCTGTGGATCTTTAAAACAATGCATGTTCCAGAGAAGTCAAGTCTGTCATATGCAGTTGACTTTGGATTGCGCTGTTGCACACAACATTATCGCGAGGCACACCGTGTCGTTCCGACGCCGCGGTTCCCAGAAGCCTCCTCCGATTTTCCGATTTCGCTAACTGGGATGGTGAAGTCGTCCACCCACTTCGAGGATCTTTTGAATTCGTCCATATATTGCTCGCATCACCTGCCGAGTAACAACAAACAATGTCGACGTGGACAACAACAATAACAACAGTGTTCTTCTTCCGCTGCTGCTGCGCGTGGCATTGGGGCGCCATCGCCGATTTTCTATCGTTGCATCATCTCCAACGGTGATGCAACGATGCTCCAGAAAACCCTCACTTTTAGGGTTTGCAACGATTTGTAGAATGTGAGCAACTCTTGGGAGTTGTATGATTGGCTCATATGCAGGCCTCCTTATGTTAGCCGGAAATGGTAGAAATTCCGAAAACACCGAAAATAAAGTCTATTTGAAAATAAGAGCCTGTTGAGGAACTATGCTTCAGTTCACCGTCTTTATCTTGTGTTCGTTACATCAATTCTTTGTAGACTTGCTTTATTTATTTTAATATATCTGTTCATTTGTATATTTGAAATACATTGAAGAAGAAAATCTAAAATTTTGGAACAAGTCTTTTGAAATTTTAGAGAAATTTGTATAATAATATATAAAGAATAGTAAATAATACTTACATTTTTTTTTAATAAGTTTGAGGTTTATGAACTTTTTTATATTATAACATTGAGATGTTAATATTATTTTTTGGTTTAAGATAAATTCTTTTTATAATTCTATATTTTTTATTTTAAAAAAAATTATAGATAACTAACATGTTATATATTATATATTAGCAAAAACCCATGACCAAGTTGTAAATGCTTCTAGGAATAGTCTCTTCTAGACTATGGGGCTCCAAAAAGCTTTGCATTTCCATGCTCTAGCATTCCCGCATTCCCCAAGTTTCTATGCTCCTGCATTTTCCACATTTTCTTGTTCACAACTCATGAGAAGGCTTCTTTGTGTTTTTGTCTTGTGCGTAAGTTGTTTTATATAATAGATTATGCCATGTCTAAAAACAACAATCTTCTACCATTATATAAATATATGTATATTATATCTCTATTTATTTCTAAATAATTATTCATTATTATCCAAACATATCTTCAGAATAATTAGAAACAAAATTAGAAAATAGTAAGTTTGAGATTATTTGGAATTTATAATACATAGTTGCTAAGATCTAATTCTTTATAAATAAAATATAACTAATAATATTGGTATCAAATAAACCATTATTGATTAGTATGATTAAAATTGACACTATAAAACATATCATATTTTCAAAAATTATTGGAAACCAACAAATTTGGACATTAGAACTAAAAGATCAAGTGATATTGGAATATTAAAATATAATTGTCACATTTTCTACAAAATTAGAAGAAAATTTCGTATTGCTTAAATTTTATGATTATGATAATTTAGTTCCAGAAATTTTTTTAAATAAGAAAAAAAGATATAATTTTTATAATAACTATGCATGTAAATTCCTTTTATTTGGAAAAATCTAAAAATAAAATTTAATTTTGATTTAAAAATAAGCCAAATTTGGTATTTTTGGCGATTTTCAAAAATAAAGAGGCTTGCTTATAAGTCTATGTAACTTGATTGTTTCAATTTTTTTAGGATAAAAGATTTTTTCAGCTTTTGATGTATCATAGCCAAAGATTACACCCAAATAAGCGTAAAGTGGTGACTTGTTGAAGTTTATTCTGCAAGTAGATATTTAAGGTGCTATAGATACTAATGCTATCATGCAAAGTTTACATAAACTTGCATAAAAATCTTTTATACTTTTTTAATAGATATATGACTTTGATATTTGTTTATTTAGAGCTCTATTTTCTATGATGTTTATTTTTCTATAATTAAGTGGATATTATTCAATTTAATTATAGCCAAACTGAAAATCAATAATGGACTATAAATTTTAAAAATCCATTATTTAGTTGAAGACATTTTTTATAAAAGATAATAACACAACTACTGAAACAATTGGAGTAGTTCATTGGGCCAAATGTTGCAAAACAACATGCCATACCTTGAAGCAATATTAAATAGATTTTGATTCTATCAAATTAATATTAGACTTTAATGTACATATAAATCAATTTGATAGTGCAATTAAAGGTATTTTAGCTCAAAATTAAATTCGTAAATGCAATTAGTTTATTTTTTACACATCAATATTATTAAAACTAACCATTACAAAATGTATAGCCTTTGCAATAGCTTGTGCCTTTTGAAAACTTTGCTACTGCTTATTGGGTAACAAAGCATTAGATAAGATTATTTCCTGATTTTATATTTCCTGATTATTTTCCTGATTTCCTTATAAGTTAAAATTTTATATTTTTAAACAAACAAAAATAATTAACAATTTAAATTGCACACTACATGAGAAACTAAACTTAAATTATTTCATTTTTGCAATCAATACCACTTATTTTTAAATAGTTGAGAAATCTACATACAACCTAAGAAAGCATATCTAACCTTGTTCTACGACAAATTATAAACATTGGCACAAAAAACCATTTTTTACATTTTTTGATGGTATACTCTTTTGATATTTTATTTCATTTAAAATATTAAATGTTATATATATATATATATATATATATATATATATATATATTATTCTTTAAAAAAAATAGATATAATTAAATATCATTAATAATTGTTTTAAGGTACATGAATAATTTAAAAACAATTTAATTATAATTTATATTTTTAACATATTTTTAAAATTAAATAAATCTTTAAATATTTAAAATAAAAAGAATGAAATTATGGCATTATTAATATCACCATAGTTTTTCTATTAATACTAAAATTTGCCATCTACTACATGTTAACATAGTTTTTGGTATTGCCACTAGAACCTACCACACATTCAATATATGTTATTTTTTTTTATTCTAATCAAAAATTCTTGTAATATTTTTAATCTTTTTATTTTCAGTTTAAATAGAAATAAATTTAATTTAAATTGATAATAATTTGAAAAATCATTAATAATAAGTTGTGGTGGTTGTAACAAAAACTATTATAGCAGATGGTGGATAGCAACTTGCAGTGTCAACAGCGAAAATTGAAATGACATTAGCATCTTTCTAAAAGTAAAAGATTAAATATTTGATTTATTTTTTAATATCATTTAATTATAATGAAAAAAATGTATATAATGTAAAATATAAAAAATACAACATTAAATTGCAATCTTTAAAATAAGACAAACTACTATATCACTTCTACTTAGCAAAAGTGTTTGATTTATTCAAAGCTAAAACATACTATTGTGCAATCAAAGTATAAACCATAGCTTATGCAAAAGCACAATTAAGGCATACTTGGTCATCTACTCAAGCAAGAATTGGGCAAGTGTGCTCAGTTTAAATTCTAATATATTTTATACAAAAGTAGCCACCAACCTTACACTGAATCTAATCTTGACATTAAATAAAATGTTGATTATTAAAAATAAAATAAAACCAAAAGTGTTAAATATTAAAAACAAGATACTTGAAAAATAAAACATTAATAGATATCTATTAATAAATATAAATATTTTAAAAACCACAAATAAAGATAATTTCTGAGTATATTGTTTAAAATAACCTAATTAATATTTTTTAAACTTTGTACTACAAAAATTTATCAAACTAATTTTTTAAATAAACCTTTAAAAACTTTAATAAATATTTAAAATAATATTTCAAAAGAAAGCCTAAAAATAAATAAATAATCAAATTAAAAAGAAAAATAAAAGTTTAAATTGTGACTAAATTTTTCTAAACATAAAGTAAACAAATTTGAGTTTAAAATACAAAAGAAGTTAAATAAAAAAATGACAAAAAATATTAAATTCTTTGACTATATTTAATATTTTTTAGTACAATGCGCAAATAAATTATTACAAAAAAACATAAAAAAACAGAAACAAAGCAAAGAAAAAAAAACAAAAACAAAAACAAAAAAAAACAAACATTCATTTTACATTGTGCCATTACACATTACCAAACATTCAATACAATTATAATATCATGATTAAGTTCCACTTTACCATAATTTATGTATCATATTTTCTATACATAATAATCATTAAATAAAATAATTAATAATTAATAAATTTATTTATCTAAACATTTAAATTTTATTTATTGATAAATTGTATGTATATTTGAATTTTAAAAAATGTTTCTTAAAATTTTATTAAAATAAGAAAAATATATTAAAACATAATAAATCTAACTTAGTATAGAATTTTAGGATATATTATTTCAATTTATTTATTTTGAATTTAATTTTATATTATTATTTAAATAAAA